AGGTTTATTTACAAATATTATTTATGGGTCTGTATATTACTTGAAACCATAAGAAGTATACATGATTATTAAAAAAATTAAAAATAGATAAAATTCGCATTTTATGGAGGATATTACTTTTAATGTTTTAGTACATTATTTTGAAATCCCCAAAAAATTGTAAGTTCAAATCTGTAGCAAATATAAATATTGTAATCATTTCTTATAAATACGATTTCCTAATGTAATTTTCCAAGATATTAAAGATTATAATGCAAAAAAATTAAATTTATTAAAAGCAATAGGCTTTATGTTTCTTAAACTACCTACATTTGTCAAAGTACTTATGAATTTTCGAAAATATTCGTCCACTAGTTTTATTGTTGGAATGAAATATAGCAAGACTTGCATTGCCTACTAAGAAAGGCAGTAGCCGGTAGTCATCGGGTTAAGCTTTGAGTGCATTATAATAATATTGACAGTCAACCATCTGCTGTTTGAAGAATTTCTTCAAGATTCTGAAACAAATGAATATATTATAAACATGAAATGCAAGGTTCATAGCAAAATAATTAATTTTAACAGTGTAGAACAGTGACTGATGGGGAATCTCTAAGATTCATACTCAGCTTGTTGTAGATTGTATTAATGTGAGAAACATATTATTATCCCAATATTAATGTTTTTTCATCAAAGATAGAAAGACAAAAAAAAAAGTAAAATTTCTTTAAGTTCAGGGTAGTTTGATGAACTTGCTACTGTACTTGTATGCATTTCTGTCATAGAGTAGCTAGGGTTTTTTATTTCTTTTTTCACTTGCTAGAATATCTTGATTCACTTCATTCTTTATTATTGCAAATGTTCTCAAATTATGAAAGTAAAGATGTGTAACTTTTACTTTTGCACAAGAATTAAAAGATATCATTAGATAATAGTAATTATCTCAGTGAGTTAATATGAAGTATAATTTATTTCTTCTTCAAGTGAAAAACCACAAATCTTCAATATTGTTCTTAAGAGTGGAAGATAGCGAATATAAGAAAGTAAATCGATTGTACTTAACACTTACTAACAGACTTAATCTTTGAACTTATATCTTACTTTGGAAGAAAGTGTTGAAATTCCTCTTTTTTTTTTTAAACAAATCTGTTAATTCTTAAGTATAGTTTGGTTCTTTTTGTTGATCAGTAACATATTTTTGTATTACTGCTTTGAATTTTCATTTGAAGTGAAACCAAAATTAAATGATATCAACATTATTGGATGACTTTTCCTTGTTTTGATGTTTCTTAATAAACAAAAAATATTAACCTTTTTTTTTCTTTCTTTTTTTGTCAAACAAAAAGAAAAATCCTGTTTTGAGAAGAAAAAAAAAACTACAACTCATTGAGACTTGTATGCCCTACAACTCTGTTGTTTTTATTTCTGTAGACAATGACTTTAACTTGGGGATCAGTCTGAATGTATACTTGGAGTTTAAGACTACCCAGCTGAATGCTGTTTTACTGAGTTTTAGTGATGGAATTGGAGCTGCTTCTTTCAGCATTGAACTTAATAATGGAAAGGTTAGTGCAGTGTCGTTATAAGTAATAATTCTGTGTTACTACATTCTTTTACTATTTTCCAACTAGTGCAAAAGGTTTTTTAAACCAGTTCTTTAAATATTTTTTTTACATACTCTGTATAAGTAAATGAAAATGACATTTTTGATGCAAGTTAAATAGTCTTAAGCTATAACTTTTCTTTTGTACAAAGTTGTAGGTGGGCAAAACAGTCCTCTTTTTTCCTGTTATTTTAAAAACTTAGTTATAAATATTTATAGCTTTATTTAACATTATCACAATCTTTTTGTACAGGTGATTGTCACCATGGCTACTGGAAGAAACATGGAGCCAATCAAAGCTATGAAATCTTTCATGTCTAAGTATGATCTGTGTGATAACATGTGGCATGAGATATTAGTTGAATACAAAGAGAATGTTGTCAGCTTAAAGGTAGATAGGGAAGATTTAGAGTCGGGTATTAGCAAGAGTGAATCAACAACAAGCTACTCTCGTCATCCTCTATACATTGGAGGGCTTCCAGGTACATTTATGTGCATTTTATAACATAGGTTATTTATGCCATTCTGGAGGGCTTCCAGGTACATTTATGTGCATTTTATAACATAGGTTATTTATGCCATTCTGGAGGGCTTTGAAGTACATTTATGTGCATGTTATAAAATAGTAAGTTATTTATGCTCTTTTCAGTAGATGAGAATTTCCAGGCTACTGCTTATTTTTACAAGTTAAGTGTACCTGTCCAAGGTTTAATCTGTGATATGTTGCTAAGCAAACTGCACACTTTCAGTTGTGCATATATTATAACTGTGACATCAGTGTTGCTACCATGCATACTACTGATGATTGCCCTTCATCTGTTCAGTAGCTCAGAATTAAATATGGCTTTACCTAAACCTCAGAGTTCTCTGGTCTGGACTTTTAGCTCATGTGTTAAAGTGTGCTGATCAAGTTGAAAGTAAAATATATATATACTTTTTCAGTACATTAGAGCATTTGTGCATTTTCTGTGATGTACCATTATTTTGAAATTAAAATACCATATTATATTCATTGGTGAACTTCATTTATAATAACATATTTTTCATACAATGCATAGTTTTCCCATTACTTAAGATTATTACAAATTTTAAATAAATCTTGCTTGTTTTAAAATAATATTGGTTTCTGTTTGACTGTCTGTGAGGATATCTTTCAAACAAGACTTAATTCTGTATCTTATACTTTCCAGAGAGTGCACCTAAAGGAATGCTTCAGATTCAAGAGAACTTTAAGGGCTGCCTGAGAAACGTTTCTATCAATAACAAACAGTTGAATTGGGTTCATTTGGATGAACTTCGAAATGTTTTGCCAGATTCTTGTCCATCTTCTAATCTTATCTCTATCTAAGTTGATAAATTTGAGTTTACACACACAATGCATTGAATGATATTGTCCAAGTGAGACAAATTACTAATATTGTTAATCAATTTCTTTTAATTTACTAATTATTATGTAAAATTTATTATGAATAATAACGTTTTGAACTCAACAAATGGTTGCTTATTTTTGACATGGGGTGTTAATACAGTGGTATAGTTTGATTTAATTAAAATTATACTTAAATCAGGCACATTGGTAGTGACTTGAATTAAAATTCATTTCTAATATTATGAAATAGCAACAAGTTTTTACAAACATGAGTTTCAACACATTCATGTGTCATTTTCAGTCCAACAAAACTAATGAAACCAACAAAGATGTCCCTAATTAAAAATCCCTTACTTTGATATTGCTGGTACGAAATTTATCTAATTTGAAATTAAAAATATAAGAATTATTATTGGAAAGAAGGTAAGATTTTTCATTTAACTATTAAATTGTCAGAATCCAAAACTTGCATTTTATATATACAATAGTGGGTAATCCAAGATTATAAAAAAA